TTTTGAATGTAATACAGTAAAACCTTGTGTCATGTGCAGTAAAGGGTACCTGAGGCGAGAGGGTTAATGTGATGTGGTTGTTCCACATTTAATGTTCATTATTCTGATACAGTCTTACAAAGCTCTCAATCTTTTTTCTGCCCTCTAAGCATTACTAAAAACAATTTTCGAGCTCAGTGCCCCACTACTGAACATGTATATAGCATGTGACTACTCTCCACCTATAGTATTTCAACACCTATATTGGTGCAGCTATCTTCCTCTGCTATTACCACTCAATCCTCACTTTCTTGATTGGCACTACATAGCTTAGACGTGTGTTTTTTGTGTGTGTGTGGCTACCATTTCTGATTGAGCTTCTTTGCCAATTTAAAAAAACTAATTTTGTTTGTTCAACAATTTTACGTTTCTGTGTTTGCATTCAATTGATTTAATAATTTTTTTTTGGCATTTGTTTTTTGTTTCCAAATTCTAAATGAAATTGAATTTGAGGTTCAATGTATCAAATATGGAAGTTCCCATTACAGTGGACAACGCTACTGGTACAATTTTCCAGCGATATAGATTCGTATGTTCAACTGGTGATTTCATTTAAACCTTTTAAACCTGACAATATTTCTGAGGAAGAATACAATCAATGAGAAGACAATTTGGACTTCTTTTTTTTCCAGCACCTTCTTATTTTGGACAGTCACAATCTACACCTCTTCAAGAAATTTTGTCTTACAACCCTTTTTTACAGCTTGTTAATCAGATATGTGGATTTTATGTGTTTTGCCTATGATGCCTCCCCTTCCATATTGGGTGAAATTGTTTCTTCTGAATTTTGTTTTTCCCTATTCACCCAATATTAGAGTCCATGCTCAAAGATTTTCAGAGGAACTTCAGTTGGGTGTTGGTATGCCCCGTCCCCTTGCTTGTTTATTGGCCTCTGCCATTTCCCTTAATACCTGGCTCATGTGCTGTTGGGCCTTGTTGGGGAGAGATGCATTACTTACGGAGGGGCATCTCCCCCATTCATCCCTGTGGGATCTGCATCGAGGTCCCTTCCTTGGAATCCAGGATTAATGTGGCTAGATTGCATTCTTTTTTTGTCTTTTCTGGTCACATGTTTATCTCACCCTCCCTCTTCTTCCCATGAGTCACCCATTCTTGTTTTCCTTCTTATTTACCCGGGCCCTTGCTTTCTTTCTTGTGCTTCTGACCCTGTTCCCATTATTCCTACTCCTGGGCTGACTGATTCCAGCTTTATAGGTGATGCTACAAAAGTTTCTGGAGAGGTCCAGATTGCTCCACTTTTCTGCTATGTGGCAGCATTTGACAACAGAGCCATGGGTTATACAGGTTGTGTCAGGTGTCGTCTGCCTTCAGTTCCAGTCCCCACCTCCCATTTCCTTATTTCCTTCCCATCCCCATTGGATTCTACATCTTGGTCATCTTATCAAGGTTGTCTTCACAAAGAGGCTATCGAACAGGTGTGCTCTATACAACTGGGGCTTTATTCCCATCTCTTCATGGCCCCCAAGAAGATGGAAGATTGGAAATCTATCATCGATCTGTCCCAGTTGAATTCCTTTTTGACCCCTTTGCTTCACTATTGAGTCCTATAGTGGTGGGTGTTTTTTATGGGACTCTGGATGACCAAATTTGATGTGATGGACACCTATCTTCACATTTTTATTGCTCCCAACTCACGTTGTTACTTTTTGGGTCATCCAAGATAGTCGGGTTTTCTAGTTCAGTGCTGTGCCTTTTTGACTAACCTTGGCTCCTAATGTGTTTTGTCAGGTCGTACAAACTTTTGCCTAACATTTTCACTTGATGGGTCTTTTCACTCTGGCTCCTGCTCACTTTTTCCTGTTCACAGTCCAGAGACCACACTCGTCTGCTCCTCCATGAAGCAGCATGAATGGGATTCCTGATAAAGATGGAAAAGTTTGTTCTTCTCTCACCCAATACTTTGTTCATTTTGGGGTTTACTTCAGTTCCAGCCTCAATTGGGCCCAGCCTTCTCCTTTTTGTCTTTGGGATATGAAGCGAGCAGTCCACAAGGTCCTATCCTCTCCTTCTCTTCCTGCTCAAGAGGTTCTATCTCTTTTGAGGATGTAGGCTTCCTTGGAGGCTCTCATTCTCAGGGGCTGAGTTCATATTCTTTCCATTTAGTGGACACTCATTGATCAGTGGAACTTTTGCTCAGATCCCTTGGACCACCCTGTTTCCCTTCCTTTCCCAGTCAGGGCCGACCTGGCTTGGTGGCTAGACAGAGACCAGACCACGGTGGGTGTTCCATTTCCTCCACCTTCTCTGGACTTACATCTGTTCATTGACGCATCTTTAGAGGGTTGGGTGCTTACTTCAACTCTTGGGAGATTTCTGGTCTCTGGTTAGTCGAGGAGTCTTCTCCCCATATCAACATTCTTGAACTTATGGCAGTTTGTCGAGCTTTGTCTTACTTCCTTCCTCTCCTGTGGGAGAAGGTGGTTATGGTACATTCCAACAACTCCACAGTGGCCACTTGTATCACCAAGTGAGGGGGCACCAAATCCAGGTCTGTGTTTTCAGACCCTAAATCTCCTTTTCTGGGTCCACAATCACCATATGGTGTTCTTAGTTTGCCATGTTCTTGGCATCCTGAATCTGGTTTCTGATTGTTTATCTCAACCCAACAAGATTCTCTCCACAGAGGGGAGTCCCTTGATCCACAGGTGTTTTTTGGTGTGCTCTCAGCTGGGAACTCCTCATATTACTGCTTTCACCACCCACTGGAACAACAAACTTCCTTTTGGTCTCCCATTCCACACCCACTAGCTCTGGGAGTGGATTCATTCAGTCAAGATTGGAGGGGTCATCACATATATGCTTACCCTCCTAATTGACTCCACTCCAGAGTTCTATCCTAATCCAAACCATTCTATGCCTAGTACTCCAGGTGGCTCTATTTTGGCCAGTGCAACCATGGTTCCTGGTGCTCTGACTTGTACTTGTACAACCTCCCCTACCCTTACCCCTAACTTGGTCTCTGCTCCATCATCCTCAGTCAGATGACATTCATCCAAATGTCCCCACCTTCCCTTTTCTTGTGTGGCTTTTGTCAGGTCCATTGCCTCAGCCAAGGGACTGACTCCATGTGTTGTATGTTTCTTATCCAGATCCATACAACTTTCTTCTGTCTATTTACTAGACTCAATGGTCTACTTTCTGCCATTGGTCTCTTTGGTGTGTTTTCCATTTGTCCCACCCTTCCTTTCCTTATCTTTCCCAATTCTTCATCTGGTTGTTTGACAAAAGCTTATCCACTTCGACTGTGTCTAGCTATCAGGCAGTCCTTTTGAACACCTTCTGTTTCTCCAAGTTTCAAAAGGTTTTGTTTTCTCCTGTCATTACTCTCCTTTTATGCTCCTTATGGGTCATACTTCCTTCACGTTCCTTTGAATTACCTGATTGGGATTTCCTTCTCTTCCTCGCTTTTGGATGTTGCTGATCAGATATTTATGCTATTAATGTTATCTGAATCTTCTATCATTCTACTTATGTCATCATATATTGAGACTGTTCCTTCCTTCCTAAGACCTAAGTTGTCCATGAAGGCTGTCTGGCTTTCACATCTGTTTCCTTACCTTCCATCTCCATACCTGTACCCCCATTTTGATCCAGATCAACTTCTTTGTCTGGTTCACTCCTTACAGTGTTATGTGGCACATACTGCCTCCTTTCATGGTTCATGTTCCCGATTATTTCTTCCTGGGAATCCATCTGTTTCTGGAGATTTATCCCATGTCACACTTACTGGTGGGGTTTGTCAACTCATTAGGCTGGCATATTCTGAGTTACCCATTGAAAGTCTCCATCTCCACAACATAATGTCTTTGGCTGCTTGCCTTCCACGTCCTTTGGAGGATATCATTCAGGCCAGATAGTGCACTAATTCAAATACCTTTGTTGCTCATTATTTACTTGATCCGGTTGTATCTTCCTCAGTTGGACATCGTCTCCCTCCTTTGGCAGTTATACAATGTCTATTTGCCTTTCACTGGGGTAATTCCTATCATATCATTTTCTTTATGTTCTCTTTTTAGAGACCCTCTAAAGAGATCACACTATGTTTTCATGCTATAATATTTTAAATTAGTAAGTGTATGTTAACGAAATTTGGCAGATTATTAGTAAACATGACAATGCTTTCATACTCAAAATATCAATTTTTTTTTATTAAATCTTGAGGTTTTTAAAGCAATGTTTTTTTTATGCTTTTCTTTTTGCATATTGCCTATCCAACATGCTAAGTAATTTTCATTTTAAGATTAAAAATACTTTTGTGCATCAGAAAATTTTCAAATTTCACATGCAAAATCTTTATAATGCCCAGATAGTTATCAAATCTTTCTTAGGAAAAAACTTTAAATTTTATGTTATTGTTAGTAACGAATCTCTGTACGATGTTGATTGATTTGACCAATCTCCTAATCACTTTGAAAAATTAGGAAATAAATATAAGTTATGCCTTTTTCAATCTAGAATGGCTACAAATTATAACATAAAACATAAATGTTTAGACTAAACATAAATCTCATAACATTATATATATATATATATATT